GTAGTAGTAGTAGTAGTAGCAGGAGTAGAAGAAAGTAGTAGTAGTAGCAGCAGTAGTAGTAGTAGTAGTAAGTATAAGTAGTAGTAGTAAGTATAAGTAGTAGTAGTAGTAAGTATAAGTAGTAGTAAGTATAAGTAGTAGTATAAGTATAAGTATAAGTATAAGTATAAGTATAAGTATAAGTATAAGTATAAGTAGTAGTAGTAGTAGTAGTAGTAGTAGTAGTAGTAGTAGTAGTAGAGTAGTAGTAGTAGTAGTAGTAGTAGTAGTAGTAGCAGTAGTATAAGTATAATAAGTAGTAGTAGTAGTAGTAGTAGTAGTAGTAGTGGTGTAGTAGTAGTAGTAGTAGTAGTAGTAGTCGTGGTGGTAGCGGTGGTAGCGGTAGTGGTGGTAGTAGTGGTGGTAGTAGTAGTAGTTGTTGTTGTATTGGTTCTGGTACTGGTACAATTGGTCGTGATATTGGTTGCCGTTTTTTTAGATTGGAGACAGCCGTTGCAGAAAACACCACCGACGTAGAAAACATCGTTTGCAGACGCAAAAACATTGCGCACCGTCGCAAAAAAAATACCGACGAACCGATGCAGAAAACATCGACAAAGTTATTAACACAAAAAATGCCGTAACCAGTTACCGTCGCAAAAAACACTGCTAACTGACGCAAAAAAACCGAAACCGAATTGCAAAAAACCTTCCCATGCTTCATTGCAACGGTAAAACCTGTCCAAAGAGTTCCCATGAGACCAATTTATCATTGTTCGAATTGAAGCCCCTATCTTTTTCCACCTGGACACCTTTTATGTTTTTTTTCATATGAGCACCCTCCTGAACCTAGTAGTTTTTGAGCGGAACCCGTGGTTGTGGCTCCCAACATCTCGCTTTCATCCAAGGATACCGTGGAACGCTTGGATCCTCGGGAAGGTCGCTGGCAAGAGGCGCGGTCCGCGGTCCGCGGCGGCCCGCTGGCCTGGAGGAGCCCGCTTCGGGGACGGCGATGTGTACCGGTTGAAGAGTGTGGTCCAGGATTGATGGGCCCAAGGGGGAGGAGCAAAACACTCAAGAACAAAGACCGAGACCATGGTTTGGGTTGACCGTGGTAATGTTGGTGTTATGTAAACGGATGGTTTGGAAGACATCAACCTGCAGGGTGGCAGTCCCCAAACACAGGGGCACTCTGATTTGTTCCATCAACCGGCCATACACTCGCCGGCTCTTGTTGAAGGCGATGGGAAATGATGCGAACCATGGCCGAAGACCATTCCAAAATTCTGACCAAAGCCAAAGCTCACCGTTGTGTGTGTTTGGCGCAATCAATTTGGAACTTTGCTGGTGGGATTTTTCAGATGGCCAAGAGACTTTTGTTTTTTCCTTCCTTGGCTCCTAACGTAGCTCAGCTCGTCGTAGCTCCCATGAGTGGGATGCAATCGGGCCCTGAAGCACCAATCCTGTGACGTTTGTGGGCCATTGCAGGCCATGTGGGCCACATCTTTCACATCTTGGAGTGCCTGGACTGGGACGTAGGAGCATAGACTAGTTATACTGGCCACCGTGACGGTCAAACGGGATTGTTCCATAAACTCGGGTGGAATCGGTGGATTGTTCACACGTAGACTCTTGATGAATAGACACCTTTTTTTTGGTGAATAAGAAACCCTCTCCTGTTTTGGAAACACCTCTTCTACCCATCTCGCTTCTGAAGGTTGTCCCTCGGTGAGAAGCACTGCAGCCAGCATTCGACTGAAACTGCAAACGAAAAGGTCCACTGTACACCCACTCGGAAAACCGAGACAAAAAGAAACAAGCTTAGAGAGGAGCAAAATCACGACAAAGAAATTCCCAGGTCTGGAGGTTGCCTTTGATGACACGACGTGCCACATCAGTGAGATACGCAAGCTCCCGCCGGTTGTTTCGAAAAGGCTGAGCGCCAACAAGTGCACCAACTGGCATGGTTTTGCCCCAAGAAACATTAAGGTGAGCATCATGAAGTCCTGGCACAAAGGACACAGTAGATTTACGCTGCAGCAAACGAATAGCCTCCTTCATCCATTTCACAAGATCACGAAAGGCAGCAAATTCATTATCATGAATGGTCTCACATTGAAAACCACGGCAGTGGAACAGAACCGCTAGCTCCGCATAGGACACAGCTGCATCGGCTGATGTTTGCCATCGGAGCTGTTGAAGGAATGTAACAAGGTTATTCCAATCTTTGGCCGTGCCTTTCCATGGAGAGATGGGTTGGGAAGGCAAGGGATTGACACACATCCATTGGTAGTGCTCAGCGCAGGCATCCCAGGGTAACCGAGGGAACTGAACAGCAGGGGAAATGCGCTCTTCATCTCTCTCATCTTCCGACTCCTCCTGGAAAGGCGGTAGGCTGGTACCGATCAGAAAGGACAGTTTTGTTAACCATTCTTGGCGTTCCAGCACTGCCTGGCACAAAGACGGGTATACTTCCGCGTTGATTGAAGCATTCGACAATGCTGCTGCTTTGGCAGAGTGATCCGCCTGGCGTGTTTTTTTTGCGCAGTAGTTTTGTGAACACGGGCCATATCGTCCTGTAGCATACATTCAGGGATGTGCTCAAGAACGTGGGAGGTTATCCACGTGCATTGCAAGGCAGCAGGTGACTGCTGTGAACGCTCGATCCAAACAGTCAGCAAGAATTCCCACCATGCAACATGTGGCCAAAAAGGTACAATTTTCATGCGTTCAGTCATGAAAGAGATATGTTGAACCAAAGTTTGACAATCGGAAAAAATGCAAACAGGGTTGGACGAAGTACAAAATGCAACGAGGACAGCCCAAAATTCAGCTGTGTAGCTGGAAAGTGCCCAGTGATGCACTGGTCCAGCGGCAATGGTCTCACCGTTGACATCGACAATTGCAAAACCAGCGCACGAACATGCAAAATGCTGCGGCCACATTACAGAACCATCAATCTGTCCAAACTTCCTTCCGGGGCCCCGTAAGATTCCACACAGCTAATTGAATCTCTCTAGGGTTGCTTATCTTTGCACGATGGGCAAACACGAGCCATGGGTGCTCGACAATACCAAGAAACTCGAAGTTTTGTCCTAATCATGTGCAACTGGAGGCGGGTTGGTGGCACGGACTTCGGAGCATTCACAAACAAGGTGAGGCAAGGTCTCCTTGTGCTGACCACACATTCGACACTGGGCATCGTCTGTTCTCTTGGCAGCATGTAGGCGGTCTTTCGTCAACATGCAACCAACCACCTGAGATTCAAAAAAGGCAGTGGGTGGGACATCACCGGGTAGGGTGAGTTTGGACTGAGTTCTGAATGTTAACGACAAGAAAGGATCAAGCACACCTGCAAGGGGACGAAAATCCTTGCGTTGCTGCAAGGAGGCTTGTGCGTAGCAGGTTTGCTTGGCCATGAACTTCAACATGGGTCGGACATTGTGTGGGGACAAAGTCATGAAATCGCCAATTACAGTAGACCGAAAGTGGACACAACCAGCGTGAAGCTGGAACACAAAGAAGCGAAAAACTTGGCGAAAGGCAGAGACAACTGCATGCTTATGATGGCAATCAGCAAGGATAGCAGGAGATACCTCAAGCAGTCAATGATCACACGGTAGTGACGTGCACACAGGGGCTCGACACGATGTGGCTGCGCTAACAAAGCAAGAACCAAAAACCTTGCACACCAATGCGGGCGCTTACCCCAAATGACATTTACTACCTCACTTTGGATGCGTGCAAGTATACGTGCGTGAATGTTATTAAGGTAAGGGCAATACGTGCTCTTCATATGTCGGATTCTATGAATCAACATTGAATCAACATTTCTATACATCACGAGGTTTACAAGGTTTGTCACCCTGTGAAAGCCGAGACAGGTTCCCTCCTCTCGCAGGCGCCTTTGATGCCTGGTCGACGGCGCTGCTTCGCTGCCAGCTTCGGAATCGATCGACGGGAGCACCCAGGGGCAGGAACCCTCGAAGAGGGAGGGTTCCGGAAAGATCAGGGTTCCGACAGGCACGCAGAAGAGGTACCAAGTGGGCAAAGCATGTGGAAAAACACAGAGTATATTGGCTCACACCATCTAATTAGATTCCTTCGTCAGCTCGAAAACAAAGCCGTTTTTTCTTCTCTTCGTCCACACAGCAAGTGGATGAGAATGTTTGAGAAACGTCTAACGGGTGTTGCGAACGCAAGCCATCCAGGTTGGGAATGGGAATGGAGAAACCATGAGAAACCTATGTAATCAAAGGAAGTTTAGTGCGCAAAACTTCCGTGTTACAGACATTCAACAGCTGTTCAATACAGCACTCATCATACACCACTCATCATACACCACTCATCATAGACCACTTATCATACACCACTCATCATACACCACTCATCATACACCACTCATCAT